CTTGCAAGATGCACTGACTGTTCCCTTTTCAAATTTAGTAACACTGATCAATGCATTTCTCTATAATTTCCACAAAGTATGTACACAGACTGTCGCCCATGTCCGTGTTAATATCAGCCATGGGATGTCACCTGCAGTTGCCTGTGCTTTACAATTAGCTATTCTTTTTGCTAATCTGTAATGTTTAGAAGCAATTTTTCACAGCTCTGAACTACAGGAAGTCTACAATGCCCACTTGAAAGACATTTCAAGCAAGAAAATGGCTGGCTACTTGTTCCTGCCCCTTACCTAGGTTTAGTAGAGGCCAGAACAACGAATACAGTCCATCTTCTGCATATTGTTGAGTCTCTGATCTCCTATGTAATTTCCTGTCCTGATTCTAGGCTTCTGTTTAATCTTATTAGCCAAGGTACAAGTCATGAGACTCCTGCACACTCAGTTCCCCTCAGCGCTGCCAGGAGCACTGCACTTATGATGACGACGCACGGATTTATAAGACCAGAGCGATTCCGAGTGGGAGCTGGGGAAAGGAGAGCCAGGAGGCCAGGAAGGTGTTTACCAAAAAAACAACATCCCCCAGCCATACTTTTTCGCAGCAGAGAAAAACTGGCATCTTCTTGCCTAAGTGTTTAATTAATGCCCTGCTGGAAGTGCATTCGCTCTCTCCGACTTGCAAGGTAGTGACAGCATCTAAGAGCTTTGCAGACAGCTCTAAATGTAATCAAACAAGCATCCTTTCCCCTCCCTCTGCAGCTTCCCTCTCTCCTCCAAGGGCGGTCAGCCGGTGGCCCAAAGGGGTGCAGATTTCAACGTCGCTCGCCCTCTGCTTCCCCGGGGAAAAACAAGGCGGGGCGCACTGGGACGCCACTCCCAGCCCACAAGGTGGGCGACCAGGTGGTGACACCACGACCCCTTCCTCCTCTGCCCCAGTCTCTCGGCTCTAGTGAGAGGGCACTGCCGCTGCGGGGCTCTGGCCGCCTTCCGGCGCAGCGGACGGAGCAGGCAGGAGCCTGGGCAGGGGGCCACGGCAAGGGTCCGGCTGCGGCTGAGGGGCCTCAGCTCCAGCCCGGTTCCGAGCGCAGACGACACCGGGGTGGGGAGGGCTGAGGAAGGTTGGGGAGAGGTGCGGAGGCGGCGGTCTGGGGAGCCGCAACATCCCGCTTCTGTTTACCTGGACGCGCTCGGCAGCGGCGGAACTGGGCTCCCCGAGCCGGCGGCGGATCCCGGGCGGCGGCAGCGTCGGCGCGGGCGGCTCCCGAAGGTGGTGGAGCCGGCGCGGGCAGGATGTGCTGTCTCACGCTGCGCCAGCCGCTCCGCTCGCGCTCCTACGGGAGCTATCACTTCCTCTCTTCCGGAGCCCGACACTGACAGCTCCCCGGAGCACCCAGTCTGCGGGACTCGCCCCGCCCCCTGCTCACGCCCTCCACGCCCTCGACGCCCCCCACGCCCTCCACGCCCTCCACGCCTCCCACGCCCTCCACGCCTCCCACGCCCTCCACGCCTCCCACGCCCTCCACGCCCCGCACGCCCTCCACGCCCTCCACGCCCCCCACGCCCTCCACGCCCCCCACGCCCCCCACGCCCCCCACGCCCTCGACGTCCCCCACGCCCTCCACGCCCCCGACGTCCCCCACGCCCCACACGCCTCCACGCCCCCCACGCCTCCACGCCCCCCACGCCTCCACGCCCCCCACGCCTCCACGCCCCCCACGCCCCCACGCCCCCCACGCCCCCCACGCCCTCGACGTCCCTCACGCCCTCCACGCCCTCGACGTCCCCCACGCCCTCCACGCCCTCGACGTCACCCACGCCCCCCCATGCCCCCCACGCCCCCCACGCCTCCACGCTCCCCCACGCCCCCACGCCCTCCACGCCCCCCACGCCCTCGACGTCCCTCACGCCCTCCACGCCTCCCACGCCCCCCACGTCTCCCACGCCCCCGACGTCCCTCACGCCCTCCACGCCCCCCATGCCCCCCACGCCCCCACGCCCTCCACTCCCTCCACGCCCTCGACGTCCCTCACGCCCTCCACGCCCCCCACGCCCCCACGCCCTCCACGCCCTCGACGTCCTCCACGCCCCCCATGCCCCCCACGCCCCCCACGCCTCCACGCCCCCCCACGCCCCCACGCCCTCCATGCCCCCCACGCCCTCGACGTCCCTCACGCCCTCCACGCCCTCCACGCCCCCCACGCCCCCGACGTCCCCGACGTCCCTCACGCCCTCCACGCCCTCCACGCCCCCCACGTCCCCACGCCCTCCACGCCTCCCACGCCCTCCACGCCCACCACGCCTCCCACGCCCCCGACGCCTCCACGCCCTCGACGTCCCCCACGCCCTCCACGCCCTCAACACCCCCCACGCCCTCGACGCCCTCCGCGCCCCCCCACGCCCCCCACGCCCCCCACGCCCCCCGCGCCCCCCACGCCCTGACGCCCTCGACGTCCCCCACGCCCTCCACGCCCTCGACGCCCCCCACGCCCTCCACGCCCCCCACGCCCTCCACGCCCCCGACGCCCCTGACGCCCCCACGCCCCCGACGCCCTTCACGCCCTCGACGTCCCCCACGCCCTCCACGCCCTCGACGCCCTCCACGCCCCCCACGCCCCCGACGCCCCCGACGCCCTCCACGCCCTCCACGCCCGCGCCGCTCCTGCGGGAGGGACGCCGCTCCGCGTCTACAGCGCGGTCTCGCCAGGAGTGGGTGTAGCCGGCCCCGCCGAGGCTGGGGGCGAGCAGGGGCCCTGGGAAGGTGAATTCGTGTATCCCTCTGCCTTCGGCAGGACTTAGACCTGAGTTGCTGCGAAGAGAAGAGCTTCAGTATTTTGAGAGCTCCTGCTGAAATACCACCATTGAACAACTTTCATTCACGGGCAGCTACACTTCTTAAGGTCAGTTAAATAGAAATAAAGAAAGTTCAGATTTACCTGCTGTACACAATAACTTATAGATCTGATTGATCCCAATTTTCCTAGAAGAAAAAAGAATTAAGTATGTGTGGTTGTTTCTGTGTGTAACTTGGCCTTCACATTGCTTCTTAAAGTCCTAGCTTTTAAAAATCTGGGTAACTATTATTGAACTCTGCCAAAGCTTGCCACAACAGCTAAGTTATAAGGCCAAAAAATAGAGTTTGGGATATTAGGGGATTTGGCAAACTTTTATAGATAAGCTTTTCATCATATTTCTTGTACATCTGTGGGGTATTTGTACACATTAGAATGTAAGTTAGTGGAGGGCAGGGGCTCTATCTTATTTACTGCTGTATTCTCAGTATCTAGAACAGCATTAGTTATATAATGGGTACTCAGTAAATATTTATGAACTTATTAATTCACAAGCCCTACAGTAATTTAAAATACAGATTCCAGTATGAATACAGTAGGAATACATACTCATTTGTAAATGGCCATCTTTATTCTAATTTGGCCTTCCTGACTAATTTACTGTATCATAAATGTGGATAGAAAAGGTGAAACGTCTAGGTAGAAGATATTCAATGTATTTCAGAAGGAAAATTCTGTGAAATAAATATTTGCCACTACCGTGAATATTTAATACATGTCAATTATGCATACATTTTCCTTTAACTTTTCTATAACATTATGTAGTACATATAATGAATGCCATGCCCCCAGAAAAGGAATTTGAGTCAAAGAAGTTAACTCCCTTGCCCAAGTTCCATAGCTACTGAATGATCTAGCTGAGATTTGAATTCCCATTCACCTGCAGCTTGTACTTCAACTACTTTTATTTTTGTCTTTCTAACATGGCATTGTGTTTGTTGTTGTTGTTTTTAAGACAGAGTGTCGCTCTGTTGCCCAGGCTGGAGTGCAGTGGTGCAATCTTGGCTCACTGCAACCTCCTGGGTTCAAGGGATTATTCTGCCTTAGCTCCTGACTAGCTGGGATTACAGGTGGGCACCACCACACCTGACTATTTTTTGTATTTTTTGTATTTTTTTGTAATTTTAGTAGAGATGGGGTTTCACCATGTTGGCTAGGCTGGTCTTAAACTCCTGACCTCAAGTGATCTGCCCTCTCAGGCCTCCCAAAGTGCTGGGATTACAGGTGTGAGCCACCATGCCTGGCCCCAACATGGCATTGTTGAGTGCCCATGATGTAGGAGGTGGGACTCAGACAATGGAACAAATTGAGGACTAGCTGAAACAGGGATGGAGTGGAGGCAGCTTTCCATAAGAGAGCCCACCAGAGTGCCATGTCAGTTTACCATTGTCGTGGCAACGCCTAGGAGTTACCACCCCCTTCCATGGCAATGACCCCATGACCCAGATGTTCCTACCCTTTCTCTAAAAATTTCTGCATAAAACACCCCTTACTCTACAAGTAATTAAAGTAGGTATCAATAAGACTGCAAAATGGCCCTGAGCCGTAATTACTGTCTGCCTCTGGGGTAGCCTTGCTCTGCAGGAGCAGTCACAGAGCTGTAACACCGACAGAGCTGTAACACTGCCACTTCAATAAAGCTGTATTTTTCGATCCTACCACTTGCTCACCCTTGAATTCTTTCCTGGGCAAAGCCAAGAACCCTTGTGGGCTAAGCTCCAATTTGGGGGATTGTCTATACTGCATCACCCACAACTTACAAAGCATTGTGCTTGGAGCTTCACATGATTCAAAAAAGAGAATAATATAGCCCCTCTTCCTGAAGGATTTAAAATCCAGTTAGAGGTGCAAGGATAGGTAAAGGCAACATAATAAAGATGAACAATAAGGAAATAGCCAAAGCAGTACAATAGTTTTGGTGGATCAGATGAAATGAGGAGTAGAATTATGACAATGGATAATATTTGAAATAGGTAGGGTTTTAGAGTAGAAATGAAGAGCAGGGAACATTATCAGGCATAAACAAAGCTCCAAAGAAAAGAAAGAACAAAGTGTACTCAGCAAATAGTGAGTGGGCCAGCTTTTTGGAGCATGACAGACTCATGGGGAGCCAAATGGGGCCTTGAGAAAGGCTGTAGAGCAGATAATGGAGAATCATTAAAGGCCTTTGAGTAGAGACTGACACTTGGGAAGAGTCATCTGGGGCCGTCTTTGAGTAGGGGATTGGAACAAGCCAAGGCTTAAGAGACAACTTTCAAGTTCATTCAAAAAATCCAGGTCAGAATTTAAAAGGCCTGAATTTGCCAAGTTGTATTCATCACAAATAGCCTGTAATATTTGCCCAGTACAAATTAAGCCCTCAATTTCTAAGTTAGTTATAATATTATCACTTCTCAGTATTTAACCAAAATAATTCAACGTAGAATTTCAAAGAGATATTTGCACATTTGTGTTCAGTGCAGCATTATTCACAATAACCAAGAGGTGGAAGCAACCCAAATGTTCATGAATAGATGAATAAATAACATCTGGAATATATATATATATATATATATATATATATATGCATACAGTAGAATTTTATATTTAAAAAAGAAAATCTTATCACATGCTACCACATGGATGAACTTCAAGGACATTATGCTAAATGAAATAAGTCACAAAAAAAAATAGTGTATGATTCCATTCATATGTAGTTAAAATAATAGAAAAAGTAGTTAAAATAGTTAAAATCATAGAAAAAGAAAGTGCAGGCATACCACAGAGATATTGCAAGCTCAGTTTTACACCACCAAATATTACAATAAAGTGAATCATACAATTTTTTTGTTTCCTAGTGCACATAGTAATGTTTACACTATACTGTGGCCTATTAAGTGTGCAGTAACATTATGTCTTGCACACTTAATGCACATACCTTAATTTAAAAATGCTTTATTGCTAACAAATGCTAATAATCATCTGAGCCTTCAATGCGTTGTTCTTTTTGCTGGTAGAGGGCCTTTCTTCATTGTCAATGGCTGTTGACTGATCAGGGTGGTTGTTGATGAAGGCTGGGCTTGATGTGGTAATGTCTTAAAATAAGACAATGATGTTTGCCTTATCCATTGACTCTTCATGAAAGATTTCTCTGTAGCATGTCATGCTGTTTGATAGGATTTAAATAAATTTATGGGCACACAGTAGATATTTAGTATTTATGAGGTACAGGAGATATTTTGATGCAGGCATACAGTGTGTGTTTGGTAGCATTTTAACCATAGAACTTTCAAAACTGAAGTGAAATATCTCAAAACCTGCCACTGCTTTATCAACTAAGTTAATGTAATATTCCAAATCCTTTATCATTGTTTCAACAAAGTTCACAGCATTTTAACCAGGAGTAGATTCCATCTCAAAATATCACTTTATTTGCTCTTCCGTGAAAAGCAACTCCTCATCCATTGAAGTTTTATTATGAGACTGCAGAAATTCAGTCATATCTTCAGGCTCTACTTCTAATTCTAGTTATCTTGCAATTTTTATTACATCTTCAGTGCTTTCTTTCACTTAAGTTTGAGCCCCTCAAAGTCATCCATGAGGGTTTGTATTAGTCCATTTGCATTGATATAAAGGAATCCCGGAGGCTGGGTAATTTATAAAGAAAAGAAGTTTACTGTGGCTCATGGTTCTGCAGGCTGTACAGGAAACATGGTGCTGGCATCTTCTTCTGGTGAGGGCTTCAGGAACCTTACAATTGTGGCAGAAAGCAAGAGAGAGAGAAGAAAGGTGCCACATTCTTCTAAACAACCAGATCTCCTGTGAATTCAGAGTGAGAATTCACTTATTACCATGAGGAGGGCACTGAGCCATTCATAAAAAAATCTGTCCTTATGATCCCAACACCTCCCTCCAGGCCCTACTTCCAACAATGAGGATTAAAATTTAACATGAGATTTAGAGAAAATAAAAAACCATATCAGGGTTGGAATTAACTTACTGCAAACTACTGTTAATGTTGATATTTTGACATCCTCCCATGAATCATGAATGTTCTTGATGGCATCTAGAATAGGGAATCCTTTCCAGAAAGTTTTCATTTTACTTCACTCAGATACATCAGAAGAATTCCTATTTATGGCAGCTATAACATTACAAAATATATTTCTTAAATAAGGTAACTTGAAAGTCAAAATGACTCTTTGATCCATGGGCTGCAGAATGAATGTAGTGGTATCAGGCATAAAAACAACATTAATCTCCTTGTACATCTCATCTGAGCTCTTGGGTGACTAGATGCATTGTAAATAAGCTGTAATATTTTGAAAAGAATCTTTTTTATGAGAAGTAAGTCTCAATAGTGGAATCAAAATATTTAGTGAACAATTGAATGATATACTGTCATCTTGGCTTAGTTATTCCATTTATAGAGCATAGAGTAAATTTAGCATAACTCTAGAAACCTTAGTATTTTCAAATGGTAAATGAGCATTGACTTCAATTTAAAGTCACCAGATGCATTAACCCCTTATGAGAGAGTCACCCTGTCCTTTGAAGCTAGGCATTGACTTCTCTCTAGCTGTAAAAAAGCGGGGTGTAGTGGCTCACACTTATAATCCTAGTACTTTGGGATGCCGAGGCAGGCAGATCACGAGGTCAAAAGATCAAGACCATCCTGGCCAACATGGTGAAAACCCATCTCTACTAAAAATACAAAAATTAGCTGGGCATGGTGGCGCACACCTGTAATCCCAGCTACTTGGGAGTCTGAGGCAGGAGAATTGCTTGAACCCAGCAGACAGAGGTTGCAGTGAGCTGAGATCACGCCACTGCATTCCAGCCTGGTAATAGAATGAGACACTGTCTCAAAGAAAAAAAAAAAGTCCTAGGTGGCACCTTCTTCCCATACAAGGCTGGTTGTCTACATTGAAAATCTGTTATTTGTTGTTTAGTATAGCCACCTTATCATTTATCTTTATATCTTCTGAATAACTTGCTGCAACTTCTACTTTAGCACTTGCTGCTTCACCTTGCACTTTTTTTTTTTTTTTTTTTTTTTTGAGACGGAGTTTCGCTCTTGTTACCCAGGCTGGAGTGCAATGGCGCGATCTCGGCTCACCGCAACCTCCGCCTCCTGGGTTCAGGCAATTCTCCTGCCTCAGCCTCCTGAGTTGCTGGGATTACAGGCACGCGCCACCATGTCCAGCTAATTTTTTGTATTTTTTTAGTAGAGATGGGGTTTCACCAAGTTGACCAGGATGGTCTCGATCTCTTGACCTTGTGATCCACCCACCTCGGCCTCCCAAAGTGCTGGGATTACAGGCTTGAGCCACCGCACCCGGCCCACCTTGCACTTTTATGTGATGGAGACAGCTTCTTAAACCTCCTCCTAAACCAACCTCTGCTACTTTCCAACTTTTCTTCTGCAGCTTCCTCACCTCTCTCAGCCATCATAGGGCCTTGATCTGGATTGGGATAAAGGGAATGTTGTGGCTGGTCTGATTTTCTATCCAGACCACTAAAACTTTCTCCATATCAGCAATAAGGCTATTTCACTTCCTTGTCATTCTTGTATTTATTGGCGTAGCACTATTAATTTCCTATGAGAACTCTTTGCATTCGCAACTTGCCTATTTGGTGTAAAGAGCCCTAGCTTTTGGTCTGTCTTAGCTTTCAACATGACTTCTTTACTAAGGTTAATCATTTCCAGCTTTTGATTTAAAGTGAGATATGTGACTCTTCCTTTCCCTTGAACACTTAGAGGCCACTATAGGGTTATTAGTTTGCCTAATTTCAATATTGTGTGTCTCGGGAAATAGGAAGGCCCAAGGAGAGAGAAAAACACAGGAGAATGGTCAGTGAAACAGTCAGACACATACATTATTTATCAATTAAGTTTGCCCTCTTATATGGTCATGGTTCATGGTGCCCCAAAAGGAAGTAACGGCAAAGATCACATTATAATGGTGAAAAAATTTGAAAAATTGTGAAAATTACTAAAATGTGACACAGATACAAAAAGAAAGCACGGGTTTTTTAGAAAAACAGCACCAGTAGACTTCCTCGATTCAGGGTTGCCACTAACTTTATATTTGTAGGGGAAAAAGGCCAGTATTTGGTAAGCAGAATAAAATAAAAGTATGCCTATATAAAGATAATTTCCAAGGCCTGGGGGCAAAGGGATGGAGGAATTAGTGATTAATGGGTATAGAATTTCAGTTTTGCAAGATGAAAAAATTCTAGAAGTTTGTTGCACAAAAATGTGAGTGTACTTAAAGTTACTGCACCATACACTTTAAAATGATTAAATTGGTGAACTTAGTGTTATGTTTTTATGACAATAAATAAGTTTTAAATGATTTTCATTTTTGTGTACCCAGGCATGGTACAAATATTGGCTATGGGCCTGGAAATGAATAAGAAATGAATGTTCTCTATCTTCCTGAAACTCAAAATCTAATGAAAACATACAACTGCCTTTTAATATCAAGCAGATTAACAAACGTACAATAATGGAAGACATTTGCGATAAAAGAGTGAAAAAGGGAAAGCAAATTCCACCTGAGAATGGTTTTGGTGGTGGAGGGGGGCGGTGGCTCACGCCTATAATCCCAGCACTTTGGGAGGCCGAGGTGGGTGGATCATGAGGTTAGGAGTTCGAGACCAACTTGACCAACATGCTAAAACCCCCATCTCTACTAAACATACAAAAATTAGCTGGATGTGGTGGTGGGTGCCTATAATCCCAGCTACTCAAGAGGCTGAGGCAGGAAAATTACTTGAATCTGGGAGGTAGAGGTTGCAGTGAGCCAAGATTGCACCACTGCATTACAGCCTGAGTGACGGAGCAAGACTCCATCTCAAAAAAAAAAAAAAAAAAAAAAAAAAAAAGAATGCTTTCAGTCTGGAAGGCCTTGTTGAAAAGGCTCTGAGGGTGTGTATATAGCTAGACACATTTCAACAAATGATTATGATATTTAAGAACGGGGTTAGAGATCAAGCAGAAAAAGAGGCATATGCTTTTCTCTCTCTCTCTCTCTATAGACCTTATTTTTTAGAGCAGTTCTAAGTTTACAAAAAATGGAACAGAAAGTATAGAAAGTTCCCATTCCCATATATTACCCTCTCTCTAACCCTCCTTCCACTTTTTTCAGGTATTAACATCTTCTATTAGTGTGGTACATTTGTTATAATTGATGAGCCATTATTGACTTTTTTTTTTTTTTTGAGACGGAGTTTCGCTCTTGTTACCCAGGCTGGAGTGCAATGGCACGATCTCAGCTCACTGCAACCTCCGCCTCCTGGGTTCAGGCAATTCTCCTGCCTCAGCCTCCTGAGTAGCTGGGATTACAGGCACACGCCACCATGCCCAGCTAATTTTTTGTATTTTTAGTAGAGACAGGGTTTCACCATGTTGACCAGGATGGTCTCGATCTCTTGACCTTGTGATCCACCCGCCTCGACCTCCCAGAGTGCTGGGATTACAGGCTTGAGCCACCGTGCCCGGCCCGTTATTGACATATTATTATTAACTAAGGTTCATGGTTTACATTAGGGCTCACAATTTATGTTGTACAGTTATATGGGTTTTTGACAAATACATAATATCATGTTTCCATCATTACAATAACACACACAATAGTTTCACTGACCTAGAAATCCCTCGTGCTCTACCTATTCATCCCTCTTTCTCCTTCTGAACCTCTGGAATCTACTGATCTTTGTACTGTCTCTGCAGGTTTGCCTTTTCCAGAGTGTTATATGGTTGGAATCATATTGCATACAGTATCGTTGGTCCTATGTATCCACAAGTTATGCATCCTCAGATTCAACCAACTGCTTATAGAAAATATTTGGAAAAATTACAGTATAACAATAAGAAAGAATATAAATATCTCAGTATAACAACTATTTGCATAGCATTTGCAATGTATTAGGTAAGTAAGCTAGAGATGATTTAAAGTATAGTAATTACAGGGATACATCCTTAGAAGTGAATTTTGGTCAACTTTATCATTATGTGAATATCAGAGTGTCGTTCCACAAACCTAGGTAGGATAACCTACTGTGTGCCTAGATTAGATGGTACAGCCTATTGCTCCTAGGTTGTGATTCTGTAAACAGGCCAGGCGTGGTGACTAACATCTGTAATTCCAAAGCTTTCAAAGACCAAGGTAGGAGGATTGCTTGAGGCCAGGAGTTTGAGATCAGCTTGGGCAGCATAGCAAGATATATTTTCTACAAAAAAAAAATTAAAAATTATCTGACACCGTAGAGTGCTATGGTAGCCCCAGCTACTCAGGAGGCTGAGGCAGGAGGATTACTTGAGCCCAGGAGTTGGAGATTACAATGAGCTATGAGTACACCACTGAAACTAGCTAGCTTTTGGGGTACAAATGGATTTTGTTTGCATGGATGAAATATATAATGGTGAAATCTAAGATTTTAGTGTACCCATCACTCAAGTAGTGTACATTGTACCCAATATTTTATTTTCCATCCCTCACTTCCCTCCCACCATCCCCACTTCTGAATCTGCAATGACCATTATATCACTCTGTATGCCTTTGAGTACCCATAGTTTAGCTCCCACTTATAAATGAAAATATACAGTATTTCATTCTCCCCATTCTTGAGTTACTTTACTTAGAGCGATGGCCTCTAGCTCCATCTAAGTTGCTGCAAAAGACATTATTATGTTCCTTTTAGTGGCTGAGTAGTGTTCCATGATGTATATATACCATATTTTTTTTACCCACTCATTGGTTGTTGGGCACTTAGGGTGGTTCCATATCTTTCCAATTGTGAGTTATGCTGCAATAAACATGCATGTGAGTGTCATTATATGATGAATTCTTTTTTTTTTTTTTTTGGGAGGGGGTAAATACCCAGTAGTGGAATTGCTGGATCTAATGGTAGAGCTACTTTTAGTTATTTGAGAAATCTTTACCGTGTTCCATAGAGGTTGTACTAATTTATATTCCCACTAATAGTATATAAGCATTCTCTTTTCACCACATCCATGCCCACATCTATAGTTTTTTGACTTTTTAATAAAGGCCATTATGGCTGGAGTAAGACGGTATCTCTTTGAGGTCTTAATTTGCATTTCCCCAATGATTAGTGATGTGAGCATTTTTTTCATGTGTTTGTTGGCCACTTGTATATCTTCTTTTGAGAAGTGTCTATTCATGTCATTTGCCTTTTGATGGCATTTTTTTCTTGCTGACTTATTTGAGTTTCTTGTTTATTGTAGATATTAGTTCCTTTGACAGCTGCACAGTTTGCAAATATTTTCTCTCATTGTGTGGGTTGTCTGTTTACTCTGATAGTTTTTTTTTTTTCTGTGTAGAAGCTTTTTAGTTTAATTAGGTCCCATTTGTTTATTTTTGTTTTGGTGCATTTGCTTTTGGAGTCTTGGTCATAAATTCTTTCCCTAGATCAGTGTCAAGAAGAGTTTTTTCTTGTCTTTCTTCTAGAATTTTTATGGTTTCAGGCCTTAGATTTAAGTCATGATTAAACCATCTTGAGTCAATTTGTGTACGTGGTGAGAGATAAGGATCTAGTTTAATTCTTCTACATGTGGCTATCCAGTTTTCCCAGCACCATTTACTGAATAAGGTGTCCTTCCTTCAATTTATGTTTCTGTATGCTTTGTCAAGGATCAATTGGTTGTATTTGGCTTTATTTCTGTTTTTTCTATTCTGTTCCATTTGTCTATATATCACTTTTATACCAGTACTATGCTGTTTTGGTTACCATAGACTTGAAGTATAATATGAGATCAGGTAATGTGATGCCTCTAGCTTTGTTCTTTTTTCTCAGTATTGCTTTAGCTATTTGGGCCTTTTTTTTTTTTTTTTTTTTTTTTGGGTGCTATGTGAATTTTGGAGGTTTTTTTTTTCTAGTTCTGTGAAAAATGATGTTGGTATTTTCATAGGAATTGAATTGAGTCTGTAAACTGCTTTGGGCAGTATGGTCATTTTCAAGATATTGATCCTTCTAACCCATGAGCATGGGATGTTTTTCCATTTGTTTGTGTCACCTATGATTTCATTCAGCAGTGTTTTATAGTCAGTCCTATAGAAAGCTTTCACCTCTTTGGGTAAGAATATTCCTAGATATTTTATTTTTTTGCAGCTATTATAAAAGGGATTGAATTCTTAATTTGATTCTCAGCTTGGTCAATGGTTGTGTATAGCATTACTACTGATTTGTGTACATTGATTTTGTAACCAGAAACTTGATTGAATTCTTTTAGCAAATCTAGAAGTCTTTTAGAGGTGATTAGGGTTTTCTAGGTATAGGATCCTATCATTGGCAAACAGATGGTTTGACTTCCTCTTTTACAATTTGAATGCCCTTCATTTTTTTTTCTTGCCTGATTGATCTGACTAGGATCTCTGGTACTGTGTTGAGTAGAAGTGATGCAGGTGGGCATCTTTGTCTTCTTCCAGTTTTCAGAGGGAATGCTTTAAACTTTTCCACACTTGGTATAATGTTGGATTTGCCATATATGGCTTTTGTTATTTTGAGTTATGTCCCTTTCATTCATAGTTTCTTGAGGGTTTCTATCAAAAAGGAATACTAGATTTTATAAAATACTTTTTTCTGCTTCTACTGAGATGATCATATAATTTTTGTTTTCCGTTGTTCATGAGGTGAATCTCATTTGTTGACTTGTATGTGTTGAACCGTTCCTGCATCCCTGGAACGAAATCCACTTGAACATGGTGGATTATCATTTTGACGTTCTGTTGGTTTTGGTTTACCAGCATTTTGTTGAGGATTTTTGCATCTATTTTCATCAGGGATATTGGCGTGTAGTTTTCTTTGTTTGTTATGTCCTTTCCTGGCTTTGGTATCAGGTGGTAATGGCTTCATAGAACTACACACAATTCCCTTTTTCTCAATCTTTTGAAATCGTTTCAGAAGAAATGGTACCAATTCTTCTTTGAATTCCTGGTAGAATTTGGTTGTGAATCCATCTGGTCCTGAGCTTTTTGTTGTTAGCAATTTTGCGTTACTGATTCAATCTTCTTGTTATTGTTCTGTTAAGGATTTTTCTTTCTTCCTGATTCAAGCAGGAAGGGATATAAAAAGGGAGGGTTGAATGTTTCCAGGAATTTATCCATTTTCTCTAGATTTTCTAGTTTGTGTACATCAAGGTGTTCATAGTAGTTTTTAATAATCTCTTATATTTCTGTGGTCTCAGTTGTAATGTGTACATTGTCATTTCCAATTGAACTTGTTTGAATATTGAATTGCTTTTTGCATCTTTTTTGTTTTTGGGATCCTCCACTCATCAGGATGCTCAGCAGCTTGGAGTTCTTCAGCAGATTCTTCTTTCTCTGACTCTGAATCGCTTTCAGAGTCATCTGGACTTTCAGGATCAGGCGAATTATCATTGTCGTCATCATCATCTCCAGCCACATCACCTTCTCCATCATGATCTTCTACGTCACTGAAGCCAAGTCCACAATGTCGCCGATATCTTCCTGATAATTTACTGTCCATTCTTTGCTGATATTGAGATTCCAGTTCTTCATTTATTTTCTTGTCTTCTTCCCCTGTTTGGAAGTGAGATGTTGATTTGTGATCTCCTATAACAAGACGACCAGTATGTTCTTTCTTTCCTACACCCATAAGTCTTGAGAACTTTTGTTTTCTCTCTTCATTACCCAAGTCTGCTGCCTCCCAATTGCTAGATCCCAGATCGTCGTCTGTGGAGGCTGAACGCTTCATGCTCTTCTTTTCTTGGTTGTTCTAGCTAATGGTTTATTTATTTTCTTTATCTTTTCAAAGAACAAACTTTTTGTTGCATTGATCTTTCATATTTTTTTGTTTCAATTTCATTTAGTTCTGTTTTGACCTTTGTTATTTCTGTTTGCCTGCTAGCTTTGGGTTTGATTTGTTCTTGTTTCTCTAATTCCTTGAGGTGTGACATTAGATTGTCAACTTATGATCTTTCAGGCTTTCTGATGTAGAAAGTGCTGCAAGCTTTCCTCTTAGTGCTGCTTTCACTGTATCCCAGAGGTCTTGATAACTTTCATCACTGTTATCATTCATTTCAAATAATTTTTAAATTTCCATCTTGATTCTGTTGTTAACCCCAAAATTATCCAGGAGCAGATTTTTTAATTTCTGTGTATTTATACATTGTTGACAATTCCTTCTAGAGTTGAATTCTAGTTTTATGCCCTGTGATCTGAGAAGATATTAAATAAGATTATGATCTTTTTAAATTCAGCACTATTTCTTGAAAAGACTATCTGAGACATATATTTTTCCTTTGATTTGATATTCAATTGAAGAGGTTTTAAAAGCACTATCGTGATGTTGGCCAAGTTAGTTGTTTACAACTACACACCTCTAGAATTACAACCCAGAGTGGACTTTGCACTGGGTTGGGGAGTAGTACATTAAAAACAGTAGATCTTGCTTTATTTAACAACCTGAAAAGCTCAATCTAATCACACTCTGATTACATAAATTGATATACAATGCTGATTATCTACAGTTCTGTGATGAATCCTTGTATATTATGAATAATTACCCACCAACTTGCATGTTAGATTTTCAAATACTGAATTTACTATAAATGATGGACACTTTGATGCAATGAAAAGGGACATGAGAATGAGACAGAGAGGAATTCTTCCATGCAAATTGACATCTCGATCCCAGCATCAACCCCTTTGCCCCTATAAGAAAGCATGTCAAATTTGAAATACTATCTACCATCACCCAGTCTCAAGCCTGCCTCAGAGACAAAAATTACATTGAGGTTAAAATGAAAAGGCCTTTGATAAGTTTTTCATAAAATATGTATTAAGAGCTACTTACAAATTAAATATTGCTCATTGAAAATATACCCATTTTACCTCTTAATCTAGTTGTTGCTCTTAAAGTCAAAATAAAAGTGCAAAGAGGAGGTTAAATAGCTGTGACAAAATATGCTGGCCAAATTCCTAACTTACTAGCCATTAAGGAGTCCTCTCTCTCTCTCTCTCTCTCTCTCTCTCTCTCTCTCTCTCGTCTCTCGCACACATACATTTTCTTCAGTTTTGAAAGAGGAAATTAAGAAGGTTTGCTATGTGGTTTTAGATTTTTCTAAATGCTTGTTAGATAACTTGCAAATACAACGCTAGTTATACTGTAACTACTTATCTTCATAACGTAATTGTATTATAATCACCCTATTTCTACCTGCCTCACTTTTGCCTCATATGTCATCTCCTCTTCTCTCCCCTCATCCTTATATTTCCTTCTATCAGCTTTTCTTTCAAGGATAGTGCTAAGCCAAAATGCATGTTTTTAACAATTGATAATAAAATACAACCAGGAAAATAACCTATATAACAAAACCAAAAATCTTTAGATCTTCAAAAAAATCAATGTAAACACTTAAATTTATAGGGAAAATTCAATGATTATAAATTATTTTGTAGTTTTCAGTTCACTTTTTTCATTGTCTAAATATAAACCTTTATTTTTCTGAGCTGTGAAATCAGTGTGTGTAAATTTCTTTATGTTATGCCTTGATACTTATTATTTCAAATTTATATCTCTAGAAATCAAATAAATCTACCTTGTTGAAAAATAAACTACATTTTTGGTACATTATGGCCTAGAAACATATTTTGTAGTTTTTGTAACTGCTCCTTGGAAACGTTAATCCTATAGAAGAGTGAAACATTTGTCTGCCATAGTTCTCTCAACACCTTTTTAAAAAGTGGAAAAGCAAGTAAGTCATCTGTTATTTATTTACAGATGATTTAACATATATACATTGGTACTGTGTAGTGAGTCTTTCACCAAGAATTTTGAGGATTTTTCTGTGGTGCTTCATTATTTGTTATTTGTTGTGAGCTAACTTTTAATATAATTTGACTGTTTAATAAGTGAAATCCAGATATGTTGTGTGTTTTAGAATATATATTTTGTACATTATGTGCTTCCACTTAATTCTCTCCCTTCTCATTGCTTGCTTCATTATAGAGTTATGCTTTCAGAAGAATTATAAAACAGCTTGTATAAAATAACAAACTGTATTTTCTAGCATTAAAGGAATGTATAAATCAGAGATATTACATAGGAGTTAAGAACTCAAGCTTTGGAGTCACACATACCTGGGTTAAAACTAGTTACTATGATTAACTAGCTGTGTGATTCTGTGCAAATTGCTTAAACTCTTTGAGCCTCAATATCTTTATTCATAAAATCTGCATAATAGTGCCCATCTGTTGAGATGGTAATAAGAATTAAATGAAATTATGCTCATAAAGAACTTGGTATAGTAATTGGCACCAAGTAAACTCTAAATGAATGTTATATATTGTTATTAGTATATAGGTGTGAAAAGAACCAAAACTAAAAATTTGCCCCAAAACGTTGATGGTGGCTATTTTGGGTGATTACATGGTCAAATTTTGTCTGTCATGTGTAACCTTATTTTTAATTTTTGCTCTATGATGAATATTCATTATGTATTCCAACACATCTGCCAGATACCAGAAATAGTCCAGTGACAACAATAAGTTATTGAGAAACAACAGAAGTTTCTATTATAAGCTTTTTTTTGAAAGCTCCTTAAATAAACACTATATCTTAACAGTTGGCACTGGTTATGATATTAGTAACAATAGTGGAACAATAAGCTTTGGATGGGTAAGGTGCTGCACCTCCTTGTTATAAGGCACACAAAGGATAAAGATGAACTCAGGATGAATAATAATGATTGTGGCCTCTTCCTTTCTGGATAAATACCATGTATTGTGTTCTGAACGCTATATCCAGCACCGACCACTTAGGGTTCCATTGAGATGCAATGAGCCATGCAAAAATCCCTCCCCAGGGATCTTATAATAATGTGCTATAGTCTTCTCTGGAACTGGAAATATACATGGCTCATCTAGGGCAGAATAATCTTCCAGTATATCCTATGGGATGCCTTCATGATACTGATGAGGGGTAGAGCCAGGTGACCAGTGGTACCCTTGCCACCCCCAGCCCTTATTCTTCTACTTTTACCAGGTATTAAGGTGAAATTTTTTGTGGCGGATGATATAATTCACATTATTGACCAGATGATATTAAAAACATATGACCTAGCTGTAAAATGTAAGTTTAAATAGTTTATAGGAGGATATTGAAAAAAAGAGATTGTCTTTTCATTTAAGTTTTTATCATGAAGACCAATTTGTACACGAGGAAGCCTTTAATGTCCTAATGCTCTCATTTAAGAAAAGGACCATTTATTTGCCTCTTTGATATTTTGAAAGATGCCCAAATTGATATTTTAGATTGGAACCTTATTGTTGCAAATATGTATGGATGTGTGTGTGAATTTTGAATAATGGTCTGAAGTTGATAAAGGATAATTCACAAACATTTTAAAAAATTAGTGTATATCCATTTGTTATTGGCCTTGGGGTCACCTTTTGCTTTTCTTTTTTCAGCTTTTTTCTTTTTTCAGCTTGGAACTATTTAATACCGGTGAATAAATGATTGTTTAGAGTACTTTTAAAACTCAGTTTTAATTTTCTTATCTTTTGTTAGTGAATTTATAATTAACAGTTTCTTTTTAACAAGACTTTTTTACTAAAATTTTCTTACCATATGGACTAAAAGTCATAGAAGATTAAATATCACAAGCTGTTTAAAACTGATATGTATTTTATCACTTTGATGTTCTTAATATTCATGATTTTCAAGTTAAACTTTCTCTCTCTCCCTTACTAAAGGCTCATGTTGATGGAGATAAATTGCTGAACAGTTCAAGTAGTTTCTTAACATTCGAACTTGTCAAATATAAATAAGGTCATAGAGAATCATGTTAAATGGAGTGGATTATCACCAAGAGTCTAAAAGTCTTTTTTTTCTTTACAGTAAAAGAACTACGAATTAAAATAAATTTGTGTATTTTGAGAAAAATCATTTATGTAACATTTCAGGTCAACAAATTAGTAGAATCAAGTTTTTGTCAACAAATCCAATGAGTATATTTTATGTTTTATTTCTGTAATAGAATGTGGAGTGGAGGGGGAGAGAGAAACAGCGAAAGAGAGAGAGAGAGAGAGGGAGATAGAGAGATAGACAGAGAGAGAGAGAGAGAGAGAGAGAGAATGAATGAATGAATGAATGTCCTGGGAAGAAGCCCAAATAAACAGAAAACAAACAGAAAAGGGAGAGGGAGTCAGTAAACTCTAAAATTAGAGCTAGTATAAGATAAAGTATCCCTATCACATGTTACTGAAATCACTTTTGAACCTTGAATCAACACTAATTGACTCACTAACAGTTTTAAAATATTCCCTTCTCCATTAGAAAGCATATGAAGCATGTTATTTTCTAACATTGTGAAAATAAAGGGTTATTTTCCAGTAGAATTCTAAGAATTTTATCTATGCATGGAGTAGTAACTTACAGTTGTCATACATTCACTTGACTTCTAGCAGGTATCCTGTTCATGAATTTACTAGATACATGGCCTCAGTGGACTTTTAAATTCACAGCGCATTAGATTGATTTTATTTTTCTGTGCAAAATTATGGCCACTTCCTTCCATAGTGTCCGAAGCCAGAATCAGAATTTATTTTTTGATCCACTTTCTCCGAAATCAGATATAGGTTTTTTTTTTTCTGCAAGTGTTCTATTAGGCACAATATATGAAAGAACATTCTATAAGGCAGAAAAAAAATTGGGGAAATCAATAGTTTACCTGCTATGCACAGATTGCCAAC